CACCTGCTTGTGGTGTATTGCTCTGCACCGAAGTTCTGGTGCCTGCAGTTCAGAACAGATGCTCATCGGTTGAGGAAAGTTCAGACATGAACCCCAAAAAGGCTAATGGCCTGGGATGAAAAATTTTGGATTATTTTAAACTGTTCTTTTTGACAAATTAAAAAATGAGGGGTGGCTTGACCATAGCAGAACTACCTACTTACCTACCTAAAAGGATTCACAATTGAACATAAAGAATTCTTGACTAACACTGGCAAATGTCTTGCAGACTGCAGTATCTGCAGAGCTGAGTTAATTTAGGCTGGAAGTTATGAACATGCATTTTGCTAAGCGTCAAAATTGAGGTAACAAGCAATAAAGAGTCCAAAACATTAGAAAGTATGCACGCAGTTTGCTTTTCAGATGTTGGAAACACTGTTTGCCTAAAATTAAATTCGCTTACCCAGTTTTCAGTATATCTTCCTGGCCTTGTGTAATACACAGTTTTGGTTTCCAGTACTTTTACAGAAGTTTTAAGAAGCATTTGGGACCATTTCCCATCAGCGGAAGACAGCATTTGGTTTTAAATTGTGTAAAATAAACTCATTGGAAAAGATGCAGCTCGAGGCCTGCTGATAACACATGGAGCTCGGTGCACAAGTTGACCTGCTTACAGAAAGCAAAAAGCAGTGCAATGGAGCCATCCAAAATACCCCTAATATAGGAGAAATTTTAGCTAATGTAGAGCTTCTGCTAACATCTCATGAATTATTCTCATCCGCTCAGCCTCATTGCAGCATGGCATAGACAGAGTGATACAGCAAAATGTATCCGTGTTCATATGCAGCTCAAAAATAGTCCCAGAAGATTTGGGCCTGAATAGGAGCACCATTTACATAGCTGATGGAAATAAGAGCTGCTTTTAAGACTACTTGAATGTAGGCTTAGTATTAAATATTAGAATGATTCCTATTACTTTTTGCTGTCTTTTTTTTTTCTCTAGTAGATTGGGTTGTGCTAGCCAACAGAAGATCTGGCGTTCGCTCATGTTGAGATAGTTGTTGAGCAGTTGTATCCATGACTGAAAAGAAATTATGCCAATGAGAATGAAAATAAGTTACAAAAATAAATTATTTGTGAAAATCAACTATGTCAGTGCTTCTACTGCCAGCCTTGTTTTGTGGCAAAGAGTACTTCTATGTTACCTAATTTAAAAAAGATGCAATTTTTAACTGATGCAAGCAGACAGGAACTACTTAACGATAAATTTTGCAGTAATGCATGCAGGAATAAATGCATTAGAGAAGGATTCCCCAGCTGTGAACGTCTCTGTGCTTGCAGACATCAACGAGTGCGAGAGGTCGGACCTTTGCTCTCCGCACGGGGAGTGTCTCAACACGGCCGGCTCCTACCGCTGCGCCTGCGAGCGGGGCTTTGCCGCGGCCCCCGACGGCCGCGCGTGCGAAGGTGAGAAACCCCCAGCCTTGCAGGGCTGCCCCTGCCTCCCCACGCCTCTGCTCTTGCTGATCGGGTGAGTGCCTCAGTCCGCTTGGGGCTGAGATTCCCAAGCGTTTATGAACTCGGTACTCTGCCACATGGAAAGCTTTGGGCTTGTTTTTCTCTTAAAAGTGTGGAGGGATACTCTGCTGTCTGTGTGTCAAGGAGGGTAATGGGAAGTCTGCAAGATGGGCAGCATAATGGAGTTAGTGTTCGTCAGACACCATTTGCTTTTCCTTTAGCAATTTTGCCGTCTTAACATTGAATCATGTGTTTTTTTGTTTTTTGTTTTTTTTTTGTGCAAAACAAACTAATGAAATAGAGGGAATACTGGGCAGGCTCTGGCAAATGGTTGCAAAGAAGGCAACTCTATACCTGTGAAGATACATGAAACCAGTGGACACATGTAATATTTCTGTCTTATCCTGAGAGTGGAAGAAAGAAATATAGGCAATATATATGTAAATGGAGTTTGGTGCACAGGTGTATGATATATTAAAGTAGGTAGCCCTTACTGTCAAAAATATTTAGGATCAAATAACTGAAGGCCTCTTAAGTGCATTAGCAGCAAGCCTGACCTGCCTGAGTGTTCTCGTTGCTGAATGTGAAACACCAGACCTTTGCTTGTCAAGACCATTTCTTTTTCTCAGAATAAATATAGAAATAAATAAATAAAGTCCATGCAACAGAAGTAACTCCAATGAGAACTTGCAGTAAAATCCTATCAGTTTATGAAAGTTTATAGTCTGTGGTAGGATCTTGGATGTTGTGAAACTGCCAAAATGGAGTAGATGGTGGTAATTACGTCTTTGCATAGCTAAAGCCAGCTTGCACTTCACAATGTATGTGCATAGGTGTGTTTGCACATACGCTTATACAGGTATTTTGCACACAACGTTGTGTGAAACTGGTAAGAACCAGAACACTGGTAAGAAATGTCATCCACAAGCCTGGAATTGAGGCGTACCTGCAGTTTTCTGTTTGGTTACATCATGAGAAAAAGTCCTGTGGCTGACTGAAAGCACACGCTTGCTAGTGACACAGCTCTGCTGCCCTTAATTTAAAAAAACAGAAGGCTAGTGATAATGATACCAAGCAGATCTGTGGCTTTCTGTGGTCAGTGATGCTGACAGAAAACAAAAATTTCTCCTAAATGGATGAAAAAAAAAGTTTTCTCCTGTGGATGAGAGGGGTCTTCGAGGCAAGAAGCCTTGCACAAAACATGCAATAAGCAGTTTAGAAGGGGGAAGTCCTACAGTGGTAGTTCTGCAGAGGAAGAGTCCTGGGCAGACTTCTGAGTGACCGAGGGGTTGATATCTATGGGTGATGAATCTCAAGCACTCACCAGGAAGTGAGGAAGCTGCTCTCTATCCTAAATTGCAGGTGAATAATGTGAATATCACTGATTTTTTTTCATGAGTCTGCTCCTCACATCAGTTAATTCAGGGCTAGCAAAAAGATACTTCCTTCAACTTAGAATACGTATTGAAACTCCCTGCCCCTGCTTTTATCGCAGGAAAAACAGCATTATTATTTGAGCTGGCGCATAACTTGCTATGTAATAACTTACTGATATAATAACTGATGAAATGAAATACTGTTGGCAAGGGAATACTGTTATGCTGATGTAAGGGAATGAGTGCTGTATATTTAGATATGACATGATATCAAACACACTTTTTGTGTTCTAACTCATTATTGATATCTTAAAGAAAAAAAAAAAAAAAGTCCAGCAGTATCTTTGGTGCTGTTTCACTCTGAACATTTACTTTATTTTTCAGTTCTATGATAAATTCCAAGGAACATTCTCCTGCTGCTAAGGGGAAAGCCTGGGTAGGTGCACGGAGGAGAGTGAACTTGAACAGCTCCAGGGAGCGATGGACAAGGCAGTGTTTCATGGTTACAAGTCCTGAGAGTAATTCAGCTTTTCTGATACCCAATTGTTAAAAACACATTAATGGTCTCTTTTGGCAGCGTGAATACATTTCACTCCGTGTTTAGAAAGGACGTGATTCAGTGTATTTGGATTCTCAGCAAGAAAACTAGTGGCAGGGGTTTTTCCTCACTGTGAGCATAGTTTTCTAAAAAAAAAAAAAAACTTAGGGAGAGAGGAATGCAGCCTGCTCTTAGAAACCAAACTCTTTCCTCCAGACCAAAGTTAGAAGAACACTTATTAAGTATGTGAAATATGTCTCAGAAATCAAAAAGGGCAGATCGAACAGAAATGCAGCTAAACAAAGGCCGCGATACCTAATTTTAGGGGGATGTAGCAGAAACGGCGAGGCCCTCAGTCTGGGTCTCTGGCACTTAGTGAAGCAGCACTGTTCTCAGGGAAGGGTTTCCATCGCGCACGAAGTAGTAGTGTGAAGTTCATCTCTATTAGAACAAAAAAGACACTTTTACTGAACAGAGAAGGATGAAATCGCAAGATGTATTTTCAGGAGTGTGAGCACTTTGAGGGCTTTTTTAATGAAGAATAAAACAACAAGTACAAATCCAGTTGACTGTGCTTTATAAGTAATTGGTGGTGTGTATGGAATACAGATCAGACTTTATATGCAGCACTTGGAAAAGTATTTTAATAACTTGGCGAATCAAAGCCATTTCTAGTCTTGTGAAGCAGCAGTATTCCTTCTGTACCATGACTAGTTTCTCCATTCTGTCATTTTAATAAAAACAGTTATGGAGTTGAAAAAAAACATCCTTTCAAGGGAGCACCAATGACTACAGTGTTAATATTTGTGCTGGTGTCCGCTGCAGGAATGAGCTTCGTGCAAGAAGACAAGACAAAACACAAAGATCAGAAAGAAAAGGAATGTGTGACATTCCAGGTGCTGAGGAAGGATGTGGCTTCCAGCCGTGGGAGCTACTGCTCTTTGCACTAGGTGCCTCTGTGAATTTACTTCTAGTTAAGTGAGTGAGAATAACTGTTTATACCATCAGAGAAGGAACCTGAGGAAATTTTGCTGGGTTCAGCCGCCTCTCTGTACTTGGGGAGCAGATTTTTCCATATCTCCAGATTGTTTTTGTACAAGTTAGAATTGTTTTTTGAAAAGGCAGAAACAACAACATAAAACATTTAAGAACCCCGTGTGATTCAGTTCTGGTATGGAGTCTTTATGGCTGTTGGCCAAAGTAAACTCAACAGCTGTGGAGCCTGTGCCTTCTTCCAAGGCATAGACAAGGTTTTGTCGTCGCGGTGCCGCTCCTGCCGCTCGTCCCGGCCGCCGGCGCGCTCCTCGCCGCCTGCCGCGCGCTCCGCGTGCCTGCAGAGGCTGCCTCCCGCCCCGCTGGCTGCCGCCCAGCTCTCTTGGCTAACGCTCAAGTTAGAGGTTCCCTGATGCTTAACCTGCCTCAATCGCCTCTTCTGTCTCCATGCCCAGTCTGGCCTGTCTCTCAGTGGCTCCCTCACTTTTCCTTCTCCCTGCTCCAAGCCCTCCAGCTTCACTGCCTGCCTCGAGAGAGGCACCCCAGGAAGCTTCCACTCCCCACCTGAGCTCTCCACCCTTGGCTTCATCCTTTCCTCTGTCCTCCCGTCTTGTATCCCATTCTCCTGTCCTAGTCTACTGAGTGTTGTCCTGTTGACCTTTCTGGATGCTTGCATGAGGAAGGGAATCACTGTGTGATCAAAGAATAATTTGGAAATCCATACACAAAAATGCTGCGTTATTCTTTGTTTAAGATAACTGCATACCTAAGAAGTTTGAAAATCAAGGACATAGAGAGCAGAGCTGTGAGCGGTGCCTAATTGCTACCTCTGCAACCAAAGATGTTTTAAGACGGTAGATGTTTGCCCACGATGTGTATGTACATCATGGCCTTAGTTCCATCCTTGCGGGGAAGGCAAGGTGGTTTTAGGAAACAGGCATGATAAGACTCTCTACTTTCAATAGGGCTCCTTTTGGGGCACAACATTTTCTGTTATATGGAGTAAACTTTATGCTGTAGACCCGCTTGGTTTCACAACACAAATGGAAGAAAGAGAATCCCTTCTTTACCTTCATCAACACCATCAGAGCTCTGCTGTCCTGGGCACTGTACAGAATGATCCTAGGAAATAACTCCCTCTTCCAGAGGCCTTGCAGTGTCAGTAGATGCAGTGAGGTTTAGCCTGGAGCTAATCATGCCTTCACCTTGTTCAGGTTGGCAGAAGCCAGGAACATGGTTGATGCTGAACTGGATAGGAATAGTCTTGATCACATACAGGTTTTGCCTTTCTTTAGATCCTTTTAGATCAAAGCAGTTTTGATTAAAGGCGACAGCACTGAGTCATGGGTTCTAAAACAGGTCATAGTTACAGAGAGCTGCTTTAGTCACTGTATAGACATAGGGTATATTAGTTTCATATTGAGTTTTTCCCTTCACTTTGTCTCCTTGTCTCCACATAGCAAGAGAATTGCTGATTCTGAACCTCTGGCTTTATGGGACGATTAAAGAAACAAATGCCCTTTCCGGCTATAAAACAGGAGTCCTTTGAGTGAGCTGTCTAGACAAGCAAAAATATTTGGTGCTTGGACCTTCTCTGTAATTTCCCATGCACTGAAAGATGCAGTCATGTTCAGACTCTGTATTTTTTAAAGAAACAAAGCTATCTTCTGTGGATATATTATATAGTTAATTAGGACACTTGCTACAATGATAGGTTTTGTTTCTGCAGCTTTTCAGTCAATGACCTTAGTTTACCTTTGGAGAACCAGCTGCATGATCCATTCCCCTGTTTTCTTAAACATTTAGCTATTAAGTAAGAAAAGTACTGTAATTCATGTAATTCTAAAATCCCCAGTTGTCGTTTTTTCTGTCTAGGCTTTTAACAGGATAACTGTCCTGTGGCTCAGGAACTTCTGTTATTAAACTATAATTGGTCCCTGGAAATTCAAACACTGCATTATTGCCTGTTTTATTAAATTCTTAGTTGTCAGTGCTCCACTGTTTACTCAATTTGAATTCCCTTTCTTAACTTAACCATTTTTTGTGTAAGGAGTGCTAGCATTTTTTGACCAGATATATGAAACTCCACATGACCTCAGGATGCTAACATTTAAAATAAAAATGCAGGTGTAGTGCTCAGCAGCAAGAGGGGAGGATCAGAAAAGTGCAACCATAAATGCTGATGCAGAAGCTGTATCTTGCACTTGGTTTTTTTTTCTTTCCTGGTAACTCCACATGCATCTTTTCATAACTCTGTTCTTATGGTGACTGGAAGAAGATAGGGTATCAAATGTAGTATTTCACTTGTCACCCTTGACAGTGTCTCCTTAACTCAGATAAAATAGCTAAATTAGCAAAAACAGCTTGTTTAATTTTACTAGGGAGAGTTTATGGTGGGTTTCAAATTCAGTATACAGGAGCTAATCAAACTTTCTTATTCACTTTTTTCAGATCAAATGTATTAGCTATTGAATTCTTTGTGAAATACAAATAACCCTTTTTAAGATTAATTCCTTCAATATTTTCCCTTCATCTGTTTAATAAATCAAAATATAACAAGCATGAAAAACCATTATTGGCAAAACCAGCAAAGCAAATAAAATACTATTCTGCCAGTCCTGTCCCCAAGTGCAGTTTTCTTAAAGATCATCAGTACAGCCCTAGATGTTTCCTAGATGTCCGTGTATGGGATACATACATTTTTTGCATGAACACTGTATTTTACTGAAGGTTGTGAACCAGTGGATGAGCTCAGTAAGAGGAGAATTTTCCATCACTCAGTATTGTTAAAATGAAAGCAGATGCCCTTCTGAAAAAAAAAAAAAAAAGATGCTGTAATTCTGCAATTTACTCAGTCGGTACAGAAATGAAAATTTTGTTGCATTTGTAACCTGTGCAAGAGGTGGGCTACATGGTGGATGTTAGTGGATGCAGTCTCTTCTAACCTTAGAAAAAAGTAGAAACAAAAAACAGAGCAAATAGTAAAGGCTGGTGACCAAGAACCAAGAATTCGCTTTTAGTTGAGCTTCAGACATGGTCTAAGAGTAAGAGTATCTGACCTTAGTAATGTCTGTGAGGAGTGAGCTGGGTCTGTTAGCAGCTGGGGGGAGCGGACGGGGAGGCTTTGTGGCCTGCTCTTCCCTTCCCAAGGGACACTGCAGAGCAGTGCTGCCCGCCCGTGCCGTGGGTGCAGTGAGTGTGCGAGGCCTTGGCTGCAGGCAGAACGATGGCAGGCCGCAGCCCCGCGAAGGTGCTCCTGCAAGGGAGGTTGTGCCTTTCCAACCCGTCGCATTTGGATGCGTTTAAAATGCCCAGCCCAGAGGTTATTCAGAGAGGACAGCAGCTTTGCTTAACACTCACAGTGGTTTCTAGGAAAGAAGTGTAGAAATAACATCTCTGCTTCAAACTGCAGGGCAATTTAGCAGGCAGAAGGTACTAATCCTAATATTTTGGCTAGAGCCCAGTTTGGGTTAACGTCCTTACTTCTGAAAAACACACCATGACATCTTCAGTGATCACAGCCAGCCAGGGCCTTGCTTACAGGCCTTATTTCAGCAGATGATAAATACGTTCACAGCACTTGTAATACACTTGCAAAAATAAACCATGTTGTGCCACAAGCAGCTCAGCTTCCTTGCAGGCTGGTGGGCAGCCGAGTGGAGAGCAGATCTACTCACCCAGTGACCCTCGCTTTTAAGGCCAGCAAACCACAACTGAGAAGTACAAACGAAGGGCCCGCACAGCATGTAGGCATTGCAATTACCTCACCTACCTGCATGCGATTCTTCATTCATATAAATTTATAGGATTAAGGCCAAAAGGCTCAATCTGCAGGTATTTACCACTTAACACGTGCTCTGTGAAATTCTCTTCATGCCGAGAGGCAGAATAAAATTTGTGCAGCACGTAAAACCTCTGGCCAGTGTTCAGCACTTCTGCGTGAGAGGTCTGAGCATCAGGTTTTCTGGTGAGGCTGGGGGCACCTGTGTTATTGATTATATAGTGGCAGATTCTGGAGGAAAGTTGCATTAAAATAGTGTCCTGCTCTGTGGGATGCAGCATCATGGCACTTTGGGGCAGCTTGGCGAAATAGATGGGAAGGATTTGACCAAAATGATTGTCCGACGTTTTTCCTGTAAAGTTCATGTTGAAACAAACTTGCTTGTTGTGGGTGTATTTTCTTTAAATCCTTGTGTCTCGTCCTTCGAGTTTTCCTTCCCGTCCATATATCCCCATCACAGCACCTGTTTGCGAAACCAGCACGCAGCTCCACTGCTTTTCTTCCCCCTCCATTAAGGCATCCTCTGTGTCCCGGCCTGCGTGACGCGTAACTTCTCCCTTGCAGATGTTGACGAGTGCACGAACGGCACCGTGTGCGGCAGCCACGGCTTCTGCGAGAACATGGACGGCTCCTTCCGCTGCCTCTGCTACCAGGGCTACCAGGACGCCCAGGACGGCCTCGGCTGCACGGGTGAGTTTCCGCAGGGCCGGCGCCGCCGCCGCGGGATTCGAGCAAGGAAAACGCAGCTTGGAAGCACGATGCTCGTCTTCACAAGAGCCCCTTTGTTTTGCCTTTTTTTTTGTTGTTTTTTTTTTGTCGAAATCGTACTGCTCGCTGGTAAAATAAGGTTGAGCTTATGCTTCACTTGCTGAGCTTTGTGCCAGGTGGAAACGTACTGGGTAGTGGCTTAGTGAAAACCTGTTATTAGAATTGAATGGAAACCAACAGCAAATAAGCTGAGCCGCTCATTTTAACTCAAAAAAGGAAAAAGAAAAAAGAAAGCTCGCTCTTTCTGCACGTGTCAGGGCCATTCACAAATATAAATCATAGTGGATTGAATTTAATACTTCAGCCTATTTAAATGCAACATCTGTTTAGTCTCTTAGCTGAATAACCAGAACTCTGTACTACCTCCTACAGGAAATAAAGTCTGGCATGTGGTACAGGCAGTCTGAATTAGCACACCTCCCTAGGCATATTGTGTTTGAACAGGATTTAACATTGGCTTCAATCTCCAGGAAAGACACCTATCACCGTGAAAAGATGTGAGATTTTTGTAAATGTGTAAATACTGCACGTTTCTCTTGTGAGTAATAGGTTTCCAGATCTGTTGTTAATAGTGATGGCTGGACCTGAGAACCATCTGAGGCAGCACAAGTTTCTAATATAAAATTAATACCAGATCAAGGAAAGGTATTCATGAAGCAATATATTCAGAATGGAGTAAGGATGGAACATGCTTACCAGGAACACAGAGCTAAATGGAATACAGAGCAAGTGAAGGAGTTAGAACTCATATAGAAGAGTGTGTGTGTGTTTTCTAATATATTAAATTAGAATTTATTAGAATTTTTATTACAAAATTCTTTAGGACTTGGTTTTGCAACATACTGATGTGTATTTTTGCGTATAGTAAATTTTCACAGGTAAAACAAATTAAGGCAAGAAAGAAAAAAGGAAAGTACAAATTGCAAGAAGCCAAATTTAACTTTGAGTCGCTTGTGAAGCAATTTTGCATCGTTAAATAACATCAGGTATTTTTATGATCCTAAAGTACTCTTACAAATTATGATGCCTGTCATTTACCAAAATATTTTAAGAAAAGGATAAATCTGTATAGTTAAGCAACATTTCCCAAAGAATATTTCATCTTTTTCAAAATGAATTCAGTAAAAAGATTTAAATGATCTAAGTGTATTTTAAAAGTCCTGAGCAAAGTAGTACATTAAAGTATATATTTTTATGACAAATGTATAACTCATCATTTGATTATACGATTAGATTTTTGTTCCTACTGGATAACAGAGAAAAAGGGTAAAACATTTCCTCGCAAATATGCTTTAGACTAAGCTCAGTTATATATATTTCTGAATTTTGACTTATGAATTATAATTTTCAGATGCTATATTTAGTAGACAAAGTAAATAGTCACAAGTAAGCTATAGTAATTAAAAAACAGGTCAAGTCAATCCTGAGTATATTTGATAAGCCTTGTTTAAGCCACAGAAACTCTCCTGTCATTCAAAAGTGTTTTGGGACAGACTAGGCCGGAGCCACACGAAAGCAAAGATCAAAACATGTCGGATTCTTTCGGATACTTGACTCGGTTGTGAGGAGCATTCGACTGGAGCAGAATTCGGTGCTGCTGTGCAGGGGCTGTGCTGGGTGGGTGGGAAATAACCCTTGTGGGCCGCAGGGCAACCACGAGGCCTTGTCTCTGAGGGGCGCGCAGCAGAACCCAGCTTGGGCGATTCCGAGGGTGTTCATGGGAAAAACGGAACTTTGAGGGGAAAAAGGGAATTCTCTTTTCATACTGAATTCTGTTGAAACCTACCTATTTCACTTCATGAGTTCAATGAGCGTCTAATAATGAGGAGGATGAGTCAGTTACAAGAGCTGTTTACAAAAAGAAATGAAATGAGCCTGTGTCTTCAATCCTCAGGAAAGAGTTGAACAAAAAAAGTTTTTAAAAACAAAACAATACGTCGTTCACAAGCAGCACATTCATAGAGTCATAGAATCATTATGGTTGGAAAAGACTTTCAAGATCGAGTCCAACTGCAGGTTGGTGCTGTACAGCAGCACCTAATCAGCACTGGTAGTTTATAAACTATTCTGCCTTTCAGGGGCCTTTATTTCAAAGGATCTAAATACTTGTTTATGAATCCACTTAGGTGTTAGTGAGGTTTTAATCCTTCCCCAGAGATCACATCTGTATCCTGGCAGGTGATACTAACACAGATGCACCAGATAAAAGAACAAACTGTCAGTAATGGTCTTGGGTTGATTTATGCCTTTTTTCTTCCCCGCCCAGATGTGAATGAATGTGAGATGCTGAGCGGTGTGTGTGGCGAAGCCATCTGTGAAAACGTCGATGGTTCCTTCCTGTGCCTGTGTTCGGATGAAAACCAGGAGTATGATCCGATGACGGGGCAGTGCCGCTTCCGCACCCCGCCAGGTAAAACGCCCGGGAGATCTGGCACTCTTAGGGTGGTTTCCACTTCACGTGTAACCACTGCAGGCATAAAGCTGATTCAGGTGTTTGTTAGTTTAAAGGTTAGTTTAACTGCAAAAGAAAAATTTACAAGCTTTTTCTTTTTGAAAG